ATTTCTTTGCTTTAAAAGACCAGGAATTGGTCTACACTGGGTGTGCCTCGCCTGTGACCACAATGGGAAAGAAGCAGCCTCCCCTGTCGTCCCCACCCTAACACATGCTCAGTTCTCCACTCCTCCCTCTTGGACCCCTAAAACAGACAATGACCATCATTCACCATTCATTTAGCCACATTTAACTGTATGTTTCTCTTTACAATGATGTTCTCAAAGTAGACCCGTGACAGACAGGCCAAGATGGTGATGTGGAAAGAACATTAGGTCCGAGCGTATTCCTTGGTTGAAATGCAGGAGGTTTCCATGCAGGGAGTATTCACTTAACACACCAGGACGACTTTGTTTGCTGGGCCCTGGAGACATTTCTCTGTGACTCTTGCCCATTCACTTCACTGATTTAATAGCCTAAAGACATTACCCTGCTAGAAATGTACAGTAAGTCGCTGCTGGCAACACTGACCTGCATGAGAGCAGTGGTCCACAAGGACCAGTCTAACTTGGATAATAAGAGCTGTGTGATTTCTTTTAAACAATTCTTGGAACCAAAACTGTGTCCTTCAAAAGAGCAGCAAGCCCTCTTAACCTCAGTGCCATCTCCAGCCCCGGAAGCTGTTTCAGATATGTTAGTGAACAACTCTTTTTAAAATACTTTTAAAAAGTCAGGTTATGAGTTTGTTTGAGCAAAGTTCCAGTTCCCATAGCGCCATAGAAAATAGGAATCAGACCACTTTTTTTTTTTTCCTTCCTCTAATCGAACAGGAAGTAGATAAGGAAGGAAGTACAGAGGTGATATGTGACTCAATGTACCTCCGGAGAACCTGGGTGTGATGTTGTTCCTTAAGATTGTAAGAGGGTGACTCAAAGGAACAGCTTGTTGACAGTGATGAAGCCAAGAATGGCATGTGGTGGGGTTGACCTTAAGGTAGCATTTGGAGGCTGGCCTGGGCCTCTAGAAAGTTGGAGAGCTAAGAAATGTCCACATCCCTGCAACCACCTCCTTGCCCACCTCCTGAGATGACCCCAAGGGTCTCTTACACAGCACGATGCTCCTTGAAGAAAGCAGAGGTAGTGAACGAGGGCTGCCGAACACAGGTAAAATCTCAAGAGGACCTGAGACCTGTTCGTGCAGTCAGTTCATCATTCTTTGTCTGTCCCCATTGTTCCACTCCCATCCTAGAGCAGAGCCTCTGTCCGTGTCCCACCATCTGGACACCCATTGCTACTGACAGACTGCTACCTCCCTGATACCCTTGTGAGTGCATGGCCAGAAGTGGATCTTTGTAAGTCAACTGGGGCATCCTGCTGCCTTAAGGAAGTCCACAGAGCTCACTGTGTTCTAAAAAGCCCTCTGTGGGCTCCTACTATGCAGCCCCTGCTTCTGACCTCAGCCTGGGTCCACTTAAGCCACTGCCATTCTGTAGTGTTTTAATGTGGCAAAACACAACAAAACCTCTCATCTTAATTACTTTTAAGTAAACCAGTTAGTAATGTTAAGGTTAGGGTTAGAGGCTAAGTAGGTCATAGATTGTTCAACCAATCTACACAAATATCTCAAGTAATCTGAAATGATAGCCATTGAACAACTTCTCCCTTTTTTCTCTTTCTGTCCTGAGCAACTGGCATTCTCCTTTTTGTCTGTACGAATCTGACAGTCCTAGGGAGCCTGTACCCTTGGGATCAAATATTTCTTATCATCTTGTGACTGGCTTATTTTACCTGATGTAATGTCAGTGTTAAAGCATGTTTCTGTATTTCCTTTCTTTGAAGGATGAGAAATATTTCGGGGTGTGTACACACCACATTTTGTCAGTCTATTCATCCATTGATGGACCCTTGACTTCTCTCTACTTTTTTTTTTTTTTTTGCCATCCTGAATACCACTTTGCTCGTGTACATGTAAATATTACTGATGTCTTTGCATTGGGGAATATTTGCATATATGCATTAAGAAATCTCAGAGTGGGGAGTAGTGTGTCTGAACTAGATTTCCTTCATGTTTCGTATTTACTTTTTATCCACTGAAAGTGATTTTGTACAGTATTTCTAGTGTTGTCTTCTTTGTGTGTGGATGGGTATGTATTTGTAGGTGGGTGTGTCTATTAGTGTGCTTGGGGTCAGAGGTCAGCTTTGGATATCATTGCTCAGGAGCTTGAGACACAGTCTGCTGTTGGTGTGGAACTTGCCAAGTGGGTTAGATTAGCTGACCTAGGAATCTGGCCCTTTGTACCTCCCTGGCGCTGGGATTACAAGCTCATGTCACCATGCCTGGCTTTTCATGTAGGTTCTGAGGATGGCACTCAAGTCCATATGCCAAAATACTTTGCCAAGTAAGACATCTCCAGCCCTGAAATCCTGTTCTCAATTCGTTTGAATTTATGCTCAACAGTAATGCTGGGACCCCATGCTAATTATTATTTTAAGTTTTCTGAAGAACTTCCATACAGTTTTCTGAAGTGGCTGCACTGAGTTACATTCCCACCAACGAAGCACATGGTTCCAATTTCTTCACATCCCCAGCAAGACGTTTTATTTTCTTTAATTGTAGCTTTCCTAGTGGGGAGGTCGTTCTGATGTGCATTTCCCTGATGCTCGGTGATGCCGGACACCATTTCCTAGGACTGCAAGCATGCATATACCACCACCCTGGTCTTATTTCACTAATTTTAGGCCATGCTCTTTTGGTTGGATGTGGGCCCTGGTTTCCCTAATGGTGACTTTGATGGTGAAACTTTGTATGTGCCTAGTTCTAATGTAGTTCCAAAACATGCCCTAGTTTTGTCTCCCTTGTCCCTCCTTTATGAAGGAGGCAAAAAGGGAAACAGAACCTAGTCCTACAGTGGTAGAAGAGATAGGGGAATCTCTCTCTCTCCCTCTCTCTCTCTCTCCCTTTCTCCTTCCCTTTCTACCTTCCTTCCCCCCCCTCCCCTTCTCCTCTGTGGCTTCTTCCCTGTTGGGTGGATTAACACTTGTCTCATCCTTTTTCCATCCTTGGCTGCCTTTCTCTGCCCTTCCTGTCTCTCCTCCTGCAGATTGGATCCTGGGGTGGCTTCCTGACACTGTCCTTATTGTAGGCCTGATGTTGTTCACTGCTGCTCAGGACATTTTCTGTAATACAAATTTCACCACTTGGCTTTTTAATTCAAGTTCTTGGGTGTTTCTCCACTTTCTTCAGCATAAAAAGCACACCACTTGAGTGGCTCATAGGCTGTCCATGGTAGCCCTGTCACTCACCCTTATTGTGAGCACCGTTCCTGAGCCCTGGGCCTGGAATGCCCATACAATGTGCCTGGACCCAGATTTCCATAACTTCCTGGTCTTCCTAGCCAATAAGACCCAGAACCTGCCCTGTAGCCACAGTGCACCCTTGCCTGCTGTAGCCTCTGCCTGCGTCTTGGCAGTGGGCCTGTTTATAGTGTAACTGTTCCATTTTTCAACCCCCAGTTGGATTTGACCCCCAAGGGCAGAGGCTTAACCCTAGCCCAATGCCTTTCATGAAGTAGGTATTTGTAGAGAGGCGGAGGGAGAAGGAAAAGGAAAGTGAGATTTCTAGATCTTGTCTCTGTCCTAGACTCTGCCCTCTGTCACGTTCTCCCTGTCTAGGGTGGCTGAAGTTAGCAGGAACTCCCGCAGTGACCCAGTTCAAAATTTCTCCGGCCACCGTGAAACAAACTGACCCTGGCCTGCCTTCTGGTAAATGCATCCCAGCAGAGATGACTCATGCATGTGTGACTCAGGCTCAGCCGCACAGCTGGAAGGGCAGCCAGCACGTCTGCAGGGGAGGGCAGTCATAGAGCTGGAGCGCCAGGCAGGCAGGCATGTGCCAGCCCAGCCTCAGTGGAGCAAGGCTATAAGCTGTCCTTTCTCAGCTGGCATGGCAGCACTGGGGTCGGGAGGCTGAGGCGGGAGGATTGCCACAAGTTAGAGGTCTACATAATAAGACCCTATCTGTAAAAACAATTCTTTTGCCTAATTTAATTATTTTTATATAATAATCCACCATTTGCTGGAAGCCTGCTGTGATTTTAGGGACTGTGCTACAAGTCCTTGTTGTCTTGTTTAATCCTCACAGTAGCCCAGCAGCAGAAGTAGTAGCAAATATGTACCAAACACACACCCCTTCACACTACACATGTGCGCGCGCGCGCGCGCGCGCACACACACACACACACACACACACACACACACACACACTGTGCCACACTCACTGTATTGACAAGGTGGTGACAAAATACTTGATAAGAGCAGAGAGGGTCTATTTGAGCTCACAGTTTGAGGGTACAGCCTGTGCTGGTGGGGAGGGCATGGTGCAGGAGTTCCAGCAGCTGCTGACATCGTATCACAGTTAAGAAACAGAGGGGCTTGCCCGCTCTCCTCTTTTATTCAGTTGTGTGGGGGTGGTGCCATCTACATGAAGAAGGTCTTCCCTCATCAGCTAACCATTTCTGGGAACACCTTCAGGCATAGATCCAGAAGTACGTTTCCATGGCGATTCTAAATTCAGGCAGGTTGTAGAATCATCACACAGTACTTAGCATGAATCCATCTGTTTTTTTATGATACCCCATAGTACAGGAGCTTATCCTTACTTGAGACATAGAAACCTGAGCACCGAAAGAGAACTTAGACAGTCACAGTGACTTAGGAAGTAAAGGACAGGTCTATGACATAGAGGAGGAAATTGAGCCCAGAGAGGTTAGTCATTTACCTAAAGACGCATGGCCGGGCAGTGATGGACTGTTGTGCCCTTCTGCCAGTACCCTAGGGCCACACAGACATCATGCTCTGGGCTTGGTTCTCCATGGCCCTCCGCATGGGTGCTTCCCAAGGACCAAGTCCAGAGATAAGGGAGGCTGCTGGAGCAGAAGCTTTCCTCTGAACCCGGGTGCAGCGGGTGGGAAGTACTGAGAGTATGCTGTGTTTTCCAGCTCTTTCCCCTTTGGGGTCTCAGAGCATCTCCTCACCTGGGGGATGTTGACAAGATTCCTTTTGTCCTACAGACAGCGAGACAGTCCACTACCACTACGGCCCAAAGGACCTGGTCACCATCTTGTTCTACGTCTTCATCACCATCATCTTGCATGCTGTGGTACAAGAGTACATCTTAGACGTAAGTGATGATTTGGACTCTGAGGTCAGGGGCTGGGCGGTCCATTAGCATGGTGAGCCTTACCTTGAAGAAAACCACAGCTCTGATTCATTCCTTCCACTAACTTAGATCCTCTGGTTGGCCCCAGAGGCTGGACCCCCTCATCACTGTTTCTGTCCTCTCTCTCAGATTTCTTTAGTTCACATGTAGGGCAGCAGTTCACAAGGGAGAAAGCTGTCTGGAAGACAGCATGAGTGTATCCTTGGGGTCCTTCAAACCCAGCATGACTGGAAGATGTTTTCTTTCGGCAGAAGTTAGCAGCTTTAGCACCTACTGCTTTCTCAAAGTGCTGACCTGAAACTCAGCACTATAGGCAGGCAGTAGGCTTATGCTAAATAGCTTGGGTTGTAAGGAGTTCAAACTCTTAACTCTTTTTTGTAAAGGGGAAAGGGAGCCTGTAATCTGCTGGGGATCTGCATGCTGGTGTATTCACATGTAGAATTTTCTCTCTTCTTTAGAAAATCAGCAAACGGCTTCATCTCTCCAAGGTCAAACACAGCAAGTTCAATGAATCTGGACAGCTGGTCGTCTTTCATCTCAGCTCGGTGGTATGGTGTCTGTATGTGGTGGTAACGGTGAGTAGCCCTCCCGACTGCTGAAGAGTGAAAGCCAAGCCACTAAGCATGCCCTTCAGTGCCGATGAAATGACAGTAAGGGCTTAAAGGAAATAAAAAGAGCTAGAGACAAGTGCTTTGGAATTGAAACTCCTTTTGCATTCTCCTGGTATTATAGGGAGTGGCTAGATTAGTAGTATAGATGCCCACCGAATGGAGTCCTCCTCTTTGACAAAAGTAAGCTCTTGTTACAGTTTTTACCCTCACTATGATACCAGATATCCACATAGCTCTGTGTTGTTTTATCAGCCCTGTCTTCAAACACCATCCTATAGGATCACTTTCCCCCCCGGTACTGGCCTTGTACATGCTAGGTAAATGCTCTTCCCTGTAAGCTGCATCCCCCATCCACAAGATAAATTCATATTCACTCAATACCCCTGACGTTGACTTAAGGGACCCCAGCTCAGTTTTTCCAGTGTGTCCCCAACCACAAACTTCCAAAATGGCAAGCATGGAAGCATGGCTTGGACTTGGAGGTCTGGCTCTATTTGCGTCGCTATGACAGAATACCTGATACATACCATTGGAAGGAGGGAAGACCTATGCTGGCTCACAGTTGCAGTGCTTCCATCTGTGGTGACTGGGTCCACTGCTCTGCGTCTGAGGAAGAGATCCATCATATGGAACTCATGAAACAAAGTGGCTTGCCTCACAGTGGACTGGAAGCAGAGACAGAGGAAGAAACCAGGGTCAATGTGCCCCCTTCAGGGCATTTCCCAGTGACCTACTTCCTCCAGCTAAGCCCCACCTCCTAGCTTCTACCACCACCCAGCAGCATCAAAATTGGTGCCACATAATCTCATCACTTCTCCAAAGCCCCAGCCCTGAGCATTGCACCAGGGACCAAGCCATGAATACAGGAGTACTGGGAGTATACTTCACATCTAACCAATTAGCACAGGCTAGCATTACCCTCTGTACATCAAATCATTGGATACAGAAACAAAAATCCCTTCAGACAAGGACTCTGGATTGTTGTTCGGGATTCACTGTAAGGGACCCTGTCTGTGGCACTGTCCAATTAGCAGCCATTCTCTTTGGGAGCAACTTTTGTCCATAACCAGGTCCCAGCAGAAATCCAGGCCTGGGATTTGGAAATTACATCAGCTCTCTGACCTCAGAGATCCTTCCCTGCTCTGCTGCCTCCCCTGTGCTCTCACTGACAGAGATGGCCCTCCCATCACAAGGAACCTTGACTCCAGAGCTGACCGTGGACCGACTGCATAGACTTAAAGCAGGAGGCAACATGTCCCTTTTGTGTGCAGCTTTCATTCCTGTTATCAGTTCATCTCAGAACACTTTCTGAGCAGCATGCTAGGAATTTTAAATTAGAGAGCAAAGACTTCCGTCCTCTCAGAGGGGGCTCCCACATTCCTACTCCCAGGGGACAGAGCTATGTTGCAGCCCTTGTGTAAGGGTCTGTTGCCCTTGTGTAAGTCTGTGAACTTTAGGATCTCAGGTCTCTCCCAGCTTCCTGACATTGAGTACATTCCCACCTTTTGGAGGCCTTAGTTGCTTGAGGCAAAAGGGCCTCAGCACACCAGAGACACTGGACTGTTTCATGGGGAGCAGCGCCTCATCTCTGAGGCCCTTGTGCCCTTGCCCCCTCACTGTGACATCCCACCCTGGCCATGACCAGACCCAGAGTCTTCTCAGGGAAAATTCCCAGGTCTTTCATCTCTTCGAAAGCCCATTCCCCACTCAACATGCTCAGCAAGACACGGAGACTAGGACACCAGGCAGGTTTTACTCCCTGCACCTCACCTCCTCTAACCCAACCATCTACATGGGAGGGAGGGTGATGGAGAATTTGAGAAGTCGTTTTGTATTCGTCGGGGTTTTGCCTTCATGCGTCTAGGTGAGGGTGTTGGATCCTCTGGAAGCGAAGTTACAGCTCGCACATAGGTTCTGGAAATTGAACCCAGATCCTCTGGTAGAGCAGTCAGTGTTCCTAACTGCTGCACCGTCTCTCCAGCCATGAGAAGTGGTTTTGTAAAGGGAGCAGAAACACCTGGTTTTCAAATCACAGTTTTCTATTGCAGTGGAAAGTTGTCATGATCTTCCCTTTCCTTCACTTTCCAAAGTCGGCGGACCCTGGCTGCTCCACCTTCACAGTTCTGAAATTCTCAGCTCTACTTTCTACATGTACCACTGCCCCCAAGTCCCATGGGCCCCACATAGGTCAGACGGAGGTCGTGTATCCCTGGCATCCCTAGCAGGGGTCAGAGATGCTCTATTCTTTCATTTCGGAGGATAGCCTCACAGGGAAGCTCATCTGGCTCCAGCTGTCATTAAAGTAAAGGATACATAACCCGGGCCCCCTCCACTTTTTGGCTGCACTGCTGGTGTCTTCCTTTCCTGGGAAGTGCACTTCCATTCTGGGCCCTCCGCTCAGCCCATTATCCGTTCCGCCAGATGGATCTCTTTAAAGCATGAGCTAAATCATGTGTTCTCCCACATAAAATAAGTTCCCCTCACAGCTGCAGTGAAATTGTTTTCTCTTCCTGGCTTGTGTGACCTGGGTCCTGGAACCTTGCTGGTAACATCAGCACGGACAGTGCTCATCACTGCTCCTCTGGTTCTGTGGCCATTTCCTTGGCTGGAGTGCTCTGTCCATGGACATCAGATGCCCAGCCCCTTCCTGCTACCTATCCTAAGTGTCACTTCCGCAGAATACCCTTCCGGTTTGCATTTTCCACACCATGATGTTATTGGTATTTTAGTCCTCCATGCATGTATTCTTCATGTCCGACTCAAGCTGCCTGCTAGCAGGCACCATGCTCACCACCGCACCCTTAGTGCAGTCCCTGGCACATGCTAAGACAAATGGCACTGAGGATGTCTGGGCCTAGGTAGCAGCTGGCTGTGCTATGTCTAAATTCTGCTAGTTTTGTGGTTCTTATTTGGACACCAGAAAGGAAGGCGGTTAGGGAAATAGGAGTGATTGCCCCAGCATGCTGAGGCCTCAAATGGGTAGATGTCAAGAATCGGAAGAGAACAAAGTGTTTCATATGTCCCCCGAGCCACCTGTTGAGGCCCTGGTTTGGGCTAGAAGGGGTTACGGTGACCCCGGAACTCAGATGCCTTGGCATGCCTGAACTCGGAGGCAGCCAGCCCCAGCCCTCCTTTATCCTCCCTCAGACAGCTGCCTAGACAGGGCTGGAAAGGGCTCCTCACAGAGTGTGAGTCACTTTTCCTTTGACTCGCAGCTCCACCTCCTCCAGTCCCAGTGGACTGGACATTTGCAAGCAGGCAGCATTTTTCTGAAGAGTTTTTTTTGGCTTGTTGGCTTCAAAGTTCTGACCTCTCTGTCTCCTAAGTGAAGAGGCCAATCAAGAAGTTCCTGTTTAAACACACAAGCCCATCCAGGCCTTGAGTCTCTGGGGTGCCACGGATCCTGGCCTATCTTTTTGACAGAATGCTCCCCCCCTCGCCCCCGGACACACATATACTGCTAGTGAGTCCAGGAAGTACCACTCTTCTTGTTAAATACATAGCTGCTTTCTCTAGGAAGGGACCATCTCACCCTTCAGGGTTTCCTTAAATGAGGCGGTGTGGCTCATTGGGTGTCACTGTGCCTGAGGGCAGAGGTCTGACAAAGTCATGTGTGAGTGGTATAAGGGGGGTGAGACAAGGAGGAGCGTGTGGGTGTGTTAAAGCTTACGGCCACCACACACCACCACTCCAGTGCCCAGAGCCCCATACCCCTGTGCCTCATTGTATGTGACCGTACCCCTGTGCCTCATTGTATGTGACCGTACCCCTGTGCCTCATTGTATGTGACCATACCCCTGTGCCTCATTGTATGTGACCGTACCCCTGTGCCTCATTGTATGTGACCGTACCCCTGTGCCTCATTGTGTGTGACCGAGGCAGGAGGGAGGTAAGGTTGAATAGAGATTATAGTTGAGCCAATAAGAGTTGGGGTGAGACCTCTTCCTTCCAATCTAGGTTGCCTGTCTATCTGACACAGGTATCTAATTGGCCCTGTCACTTAGTTCACCTTGCTCGATGTGCTCCTGGAGGCCCAGGGTTGTAGCTTCAGGACTGTGGACAGTACTCAGAATCCCTGGTGTAGGCGAGTAGTGTGTTTGTGACTTGAGGGCAGGTGGATCAGCTCTCCTTGGAAATACAGCTTGCAGTTCTAGCAAACAGTAGCTTTGAGGGATGCCCTCAGCTTTGTAGACTTTCTCATTCTCCAGCTCAGGTTGCTCCTGGGCTACTGGGCAAACCTCATCTCAGGAGAACTTTCCTATCTGTTTACTTTTTTTCCTTCAGAAAAGAGTTGTTGAAAACATTCATCATTTACTAACTCATTTTTATTGGACTTCTGCTGTGCGTGGATTGTCTTCTCCTGTGTCTTGTACTCTAATATTAAAGATTCATCTTGCCTGTCTTTAGGAACGCTGCAGGTCTTTGGCTGAGGGGAATGTCTTAGTTAGTATTCCTATTGCTGTGATGAAACACCATAGCCAGCCAGAAGCAACTTTGGGAGGGAAGGGTTTGTGGTCTTATAGCTTGTGTCCATCATCCGGGACATCAGGGTCACAGTGTCCCCAGTTAGGAAGCAGATCAAGATAATAAATACTGGCTGGTACTCAGCTCTCTTTCTCCTTTTTATCCTGCCTGGGACCTCAGCCCATATGGCGGTGACACCTACAGTATGAATCTTCCCTCCTTAGCCTAATGTAGAAACTTCCTCATCAACACGAGCAGAGGTTTGTCTGTAGATGATTCTAGAACTTGTCAATGTTAACCATCAAAATGATGTAAAATGCTTCCGTCTCCAGTGGGTATTGTAATTCTAGTGTATTTAACCCTTTAATATGGAAGCAGTTCTCGAGTGTATGTATATATGGCAGACACCACACTAGACACACTGACACATAAACTCACATTTATTTCCAACAGTAACTCTATAAAGTTAGTATTTCACTTTACATATGAGCCTGGGGAAACTGGGAAACTAGCAAGCTGTTTCAGTAGATGTAGCTACGTCAGGCCCATCTTCAGACACAAGTCACCAGACCTCAGAGCGTAGCATGTCCCTTCACAATTGGACAAGTGCCAGCGGGTCCTGCACACTGGGCTCCTTTGTTTCCAAAAGCTGTTTGTTCCGCTTGGTAGCTGATGGAGGCCAGGTGCATCCCTGATCCGTGGACCAGTCACAGGCCCCAACAGGTCACATGGCCACATCTCTAAATGCTTTCTCTTCTTGCCCACCGTAGGAAGGATACTTAACGAACCTGAGGAGCCTCTGGGAAGACTACCCGCATGTGTACCTCTCGTGAGTATTTGTGTGACTCTCTAAGGCCATTGAGGACCAGGTCATGACGTGAACCTGTAGAGCATAGGGTTGCAAACAGTAGGTCTGTCTTTGAGAATCTCCACTGGAGGCCTTATCTGTTTTAGCTCCATCCATAGAGGTAGCTAGCCTGCATGCAGCTCATGCAAACAGAACTCTCCATCTGGCTTCTCCATCTGGCTTTGGATCTTACTGGAGACCCTGTAAGTTCATAGCACATCTTCCACTCCTGTTCCTGTTTGTGATGCTGCCAAGACCTAGGCCTGTCTCCCTCTGAAGTTCACCCTGTGTCCCTAAGGCCTCTCAGAGCAGCCATAGCAAGGGGTGTGGAGCTTGAAAAACCTAGAGCCTCTCTGTTGTTGTATTCGGTGGCTGCCATGTCCACACACAGTTGTGATCAGTTTCCTTCTCAGCTTTTCCTTCTCTAGGTTGAAAAATGTGTTTGGCCACTATTGCTTCCTCCCATGGACTTACCATGGCCCATTAAGTGGTGTTATATGTGGTGCTGTGGGTATGGTGGTCTCTGTCTCCCTCCCTCCCTCCCTCCCTCCCTCTCTCCCTCCCTCTTTCTCTCTCTCTGCCTATTCCTCCCTCTCTCCTTTGTTCCTGGCTCTGCTGGTCACCCACAGCCTTGGCTTAGGCCTTTCCTTGTGTTCTTGGTCCCACTTGTGTTGCTTAATTCCTTTGTCTCCAGCTTCCAGGTGAAGTTTTTCTACTTGTGTCAGCTGGCCTACTGGCTGCACTCACTACCTGAGCTTTACTTCCAGAAGGTACGGAAGGTGAGTACGCCCTTCTCCTGCCCTCTTTGAAGGCCCCTTTTCGCTACAGTCCTCTCCCCGCAACTTCTCCTTTCCCTTTCTCTGGAGGTATGGCCTGTTGGCTAATGATGGAGTTAGCTCTTGTGAAGTTCCACACAGGCCCCCAAGACAGCAGTCAGTCTCTTGACTTCTCCACCAGATGGGTGGCCATTGGCAAAATCTAATCTAATCTAGATACTGGACAGAGAAGATCTTGCGGTCCCTAGTCCTTTCTGTAGTTTTCCTCGGGGTAGTGCCGAAAGCCCTCTTCCAGATCCCGTGTCTTCTTTCCCAATCCAGCCCGGCCTTCTGGCACCAGGCCTGAAGCTGCTGTCTCACCCTTCTTGTCCGTAGCCCAGTGGAGGGGGCTCTGGTGTGACATGGGACTGTGGGGGTAGGGAGACCTGGCCTTGCTTGTTCCCCTTACACGTCCTCTCAGTCCTCTGTGTGTTCAGAGAATGAACACGCTCGCTGCCCGCCCCTCTCTTTTCCAGGAAGAAATCCCTCGCCAGCTGCAGTACATTTGCCTGTACCTGCTCCACATCGCTGGGGCATACCTCTTAAAGTAAGTGAGAGCCAAGCCAGCCCAGTTTCCTGGACCTTTTATGCTCCTGTGTCTGTCCACGTGATCTCTCAGTTAGCAGGCATTTAATAGATACCAACTGTTTGAGGAGTACCATGCTGAGAATTTGCATACAGAATGTGGTGGAATAGCCTCTTGTCTCCAGTGGTTCATTCCCCACCTGTTGGAAAGACAGTTACAAGAAAGACAGGTGTGATGAGCTCTGAGGTGGCGTGGACCATTAGCCACGAGAACCCAGAGCGCTAGCCACCTCTGTCTGAGGCAGAGCCAAGGAAGACTTCTAGTAAGCTGTCCTTTGAACTTTGAACTTTGTGGCTTTGCAGCCACAAACTGGGCTCCTGACACATGGTGTCTGAACGCTGCTGGAGCATATAGCCCTGGAGTTTGCTTTGTTTGTCTTGTAATGAAATAGAGAGCAGTGGGGATCTTTTTTATGGACAGTACATTGATAAATGAGCTATGCGGTTGGTAACTGGGCTTTCCATGTACAGAGCAGAACCCAGACTGTGTAGGCTAGCCTTTGAGAGCTTCACTATGGTGCAGATGGTGTGTGTGTGTGTGTGTGTATGTGTGTGTGTGTGTGTGTGTGTGTGTGTTGCAGTCCACCATATCTCAAGCTCTGGCTTCCTGTCTCTAGAGGTCAAGGGTCGTGGCAGCTGTTCCAGCTGTGCTCTGATGTTGGATGCTCACAGCTCACGTGCAGAAGGGTTATGGTGACTGGTTTACTCCCCAACAGTGATAGTGGGAAGTCAGACAGCAGGAAATCTTCATATATGTACCCACAAAGCTCGGCTCCCTTTTATTCGTGATTTTGGCCGAGTCAGGTTCTTGTGGGGACAAGTGAGAACAGCTGACCTAGATGAAACAGGTCATAGCTGGGAGTCAGTCCAAGAAACTACCTAAAGGTTTAGCAGCTTGGATGTCACAAAGGATAAGGCATAGTTGTCCCCACCCCACCCCATCCCCAAAGAGCAACAGCCAGAGCTACCACAGGCCAGTGGCGTCTGCTCTCAGGCATCTTGCAAGGAAGGTTAAGGCTCGTCTCTTCCCCTAGCCTGAGCCGCCTGGGCCTGATCTTGCTGCTGCTGCAGTACTCAACAGAGTTCCTTTTCCACATGGCTCGGCTCTTCTACTTCGCAGATGAGAACAATGAGAGGCTGTAAGTGGGGTTGTTGGGTGCTGGCCTGACCAGAGACCTCTGGGGTGGGACCTGGGCATCTCCTGGGGTCTGAGCGGTTGGAGGCTCCTACTTTGGGTGTCAGCTGCCTGTGTGTGGGAAGCATCCTATGCTTCTTCATGATCTAGAACTCCTAGAATTCTCACCTTGCTGGGTCCTGTTCTCTGTCCCACTCTGGGTTGCTTCTGGAGAAGGGGGTGAAGGTTCCTTGAAGGGCTCTCAAAGCTGACACTCCTTTTCTGCCCCTGTGAGCAGGTTTAATGCCTGGGCTGCTGCATTTGGGGTCACACGCCTCTTCATCCTCACTCTCGCTGTGTTGGCCATTGGCTTTGGATTGGCTCGGGTGGAAAACCAGGTGTTTGACCCTGAGAAAGGGAACTTTAACACCTTGCCTTGCAGGTGAGTTGGCAGAAGCCAGGGGTGGCAAATCAGGACTCTCTGAGCACAGCCAGGCACCTCTTGAACATGCCACATCTTCCCAGATGGTCAGGGAAGAGCAGACCCTTGAGGCTTCCACACAGTGACATTGAGGAGCATGTCTGCTGAGATCAGGCTCCTGCTTCCACCATTCTTCACTTCTCGGCTTCTCTGGGCTCAGACTGCAGCGAGAACCCCAGTCTGAATGCACTGCAGATCCCCGACACTTGCTCAGCACACCATGGTGCAGAGGACAGTGCTCATTCAGGATAGGTTGATCGTGGCACCCTCATGAGACACCGGAACTTTCTCCACTGTGTCTTGCTCTATGGCCTTTCCTAGCATCAAGGAAGGCAGCCGGGAAGCTATGTGACCCAGGAAGCTCTAGGCATTAGTGTGCATGTAGTCTGTCTAGGGTTGTTCTACCTGTATATGACATGCTACAAGAGAATTATTTCGGTACGCTCATAACTTAGTTATGTTACCAATATTTGTGTAGCTTATGTTGTTCCTACTGTGGGCCATGCGTATGGGAGAGAGATAACCATGGATCTGTAGGTATAGCATGAGTGTGATTGTGGGGGTGAGTGTGCAGGTGGCACCGTCTCCCTCCCATCCCCTTAGGGCCGTCACCTCATGTGACTAAAGTGTGCTGGAGCAGAGGCTGGCTGAAGCACACAGCCTTCCTGGTGCTAGTGGCTGTGGGGAGGGCGGGCCACGGGAGCTATAAGGATCTTCCCCCACACCCCCTTTTGCAGGCTGCAGAGCTGAACCTCACCCTCAGATCCATTTCTCCTGTCTGCAGGCTCGGCATGCTGCTGCTGGTGTGTGTTGCCCAGGCCTGGCTCATGTGGCGCTTCATCCACTCCCAGCTGCGGCACTGGCGGGAATATTGGAAGGAACAGAGTGCCAAGCGCAGAGTCCCAGCTGCCCCTAGGCTTCCAGCCAGGCCCATCAAAAGGGAACCTGGTGAGTGCCAGGGCTGTGGCAGAGAGCCAGTGGGTGGGGTCTGTCTGGGATGGTGAAGAAGAGTTGGGACCTGGCTCTTAGGTACTCCACAGACCAGTCCTGTGGCTCCTCCTTCTAGGTGCGTCTCTCTGGGCCTGGGGCTCAATGACCAGCATGTAGTTGGGCATGAGCCAGAGACCCAGTGTGAGCAGGCTGACCATAACAGGGTCTTGAGCCCTGGCCACTATGCTTCAGGGTAGCAGTGGGTGGGGACTTCTGGAAGGAAGTATGTTTTCTGGGTGGCTTCTGGCATCCAGCCAAGTTCTGCTGCTGCTGCTGCTGCTGCTGCTGCTGTCACCCATGCCCTGTGCTACGTGGTGGCTTATGTCCTCACCTGCCCTTGTACTATATATCTCGGCCCACCCCTGCCTCCCAGGCTGTTAGCTTCCCATCTCTCTTCAGGGATGACTCACAGTGACACAGTGAGGGATGAAGGATGAGCAGCAGGGATGAGACACCCCTATCTGCTCTGGCTCCTAAGCATCCCATAGTGATCCCCCTCTACACACCGGTCCTCAGACATCCCAGCCCTAATCGGCTGCCCAGCCTGGGGCCCTGTCTGCATGCCTGTTTTCTGACTCACCTGCATTTTTCTATGCAGCTGCCTGCCTGGCAAGAGCTTGTGTGTTTATATGCAGCCAGGTATGAGGAGGCCTGGGGATCAGGAGTTAGGAGGAGGGGTTTCTGTGTGGCTGCACCTCACTGAGTTTGTGGAGATATTTTTTCTCGATAAAAGATTGCATCGTTCTACAAAAAGGAGTGCCAGGCTTTGTTGCTGAAGCATCTTGGTCCTCATCTTTCCTCCTTGTCACCATTCCTGCTGCTGATACCTATTGGACAGGCAACCAGCGGTCCACCTTGCACTGCCTGATGGCTTCCATTGGCTGCAGTTGGGTTCCTCACTGGATGGTCTGCATGCAACAAGACTGAATCCCCAACCCATCAGACACCCCCACCCTCCATGCCTCCCATTTCCTTCCTCAGGCTTAGCAGTCACCTCGTGTGTATCTCTCTATATACCCAGGTTACCATGAAAATGGAGTGGTGAAAGCAGAGAATGGAACCTCCCCACGGACTAAGAAACTCAAGTCTCCCTAAGGCCAAAGTGCTGAGAACGGGATCCACTGGGTGAGGGCCCAGCAGGGAGGCAAAAAGTCCTGGTCCCCAGCTCAGCCTCTCCATCCTCCTAGCCACGCTCCATCTCCATCAGCAGAAACCTTGGCATCAAAGGGGGAGTTGCTTTCTACCTTCTTGGCTTTCTCTTCTTCCATAAACCATTTTCAATAAAACCAAAAATCTTCCTCTCTTGCTCCCTCAAGCCACCTCATGGCCTCACCTCTGTCCTGTTTTGGGTCTTCTCAGAGGCCTAGATTCTCCTAGCCATCTTTCTCGCTCACGACTGCTTCCTTCTTTCTCTTCCTTCATGACTGCTTCTTTTTCTCCTCACTTCCTGACTTTAATGTGCAATTTCTCTGATTTTTTTTTTTTTTTTTTTTTTTTTTTTAAAAAGAGAGGGAGTTAAGATTGTAGTCCTGTCTATTACTCCCAGGACCTGTCAATCTGGAAGCCTCTTGCCAAGGAGCTTCCTTTGGAGCTGGTGGCAGCTCCTCGGTGGCCTTTGTGTGGATGGGCACGAGGAGGAAAGGCCACCCATCCCTCTTGGATCACTATATTCTTGGTGCTGACTGACTGACAAGATGTAGGATTCTGGTTCTACATGTCCATCCTGAAGTGGTTTGCTTTGGGACATAGTGACTTTAATCCAGAAAGACAGTGTTAATTAACTGAGTCCCAGGACTCCAAACAGCTTCCCATGCTGCATTTGGCTTGGAAACCAGCCTGCCTTCACTCTTGGGGAGATGCGCTAAGAAGGGCGTGCCTTCCCACTTCTATCGAAAGAGCAAAGCACATTCAACAGCTGACTCTTCTGCAAAAGTGGCATGGTGAGAGTGATAGAAGAGTTGATCTGGACCTTCCTTCAGCAGTACCAGCTGCTATACTCCCTTAACTCATCTACCAGCATCCAAAACCAAACCAAACAGCAGTTACAAACCTGCCTGAGACATGCTGTTCCCAAGTCCAGAAGCAACCTGCCCCATCTGGGGTCAGGCGTGCAACCTTGACTTCATCTCTTGAGTTGCAGAAACATGAAGCCTCAAGGACTCCAGCCCCATGTGGTCCCCTGGTGTCCTGGGAGGGTCACCTAGCCACCCTTCCTCTGGCCTCACCTGAGTGTTCTGTGTCATTTGCTGATACTGTTGAGCATACCTAGAACCTGATATTGGGATGCCTCAGGGTCTCTCTTCTGGCTGTGTGAGTAGCCCGGTTCATAGGAGTCTGTGGCCCCATTCCCTTCAGTGTTCTTTCCTCTCTGTTCCACCCGAAGATAAGGTCACCAGGTCCTGATGGTACCTTGTGGGGACTTCCAGAGGGAAGTGGGCTTTAAAGGGCCCTGAACTCTGGTATAGGGGAGAGGTTCTTGGTGACAGAGGAATGTTAATGTAACCTGATATGCTGGTCTTCTTCTGACATCATGGTAGAGACCAGAGCTTGAATTTTTACCCATAAACAGGGATATGGGTCTTCATCAAGGCAGCTGCCCCTCTCCAAGTCATTAACAATGTATGTAAAGTCTAATTTAACAAGTCATTGAGGAGTTTGGTTCCAAACATCAATCTGGCATTGTTTTCCCCTCTGTGTCCAGGATAACATACAGGATAGGGATGAAATCCCCTTAGCTTCTTCTGGGTACACCTAGGAAGCAAAACAGAGTTTTGAAAGTACGTTTCTCCATTCTCTCCCTCTCCTTCCCGGCATCTTCTCTCAGCAGCCCCCACAGAGTTGATCTGGCCCTTTTTTAGCCAGTGTAGCCCATCTATCTTGGTGGTTGAGTTTAATTGAGCTCATACTTGTGACACTGCCTGAAGCTGTGTGGAGGTTCAGCCAGTGGTCCCCAGATTCACCTCACCCCATTAGTCTAGGTGTCCTCTTGGACCATCCCCAAGCTACATCACTGGGAGACCCTTGCCAGCTCTCAGCAAGAGCTTTGTCCCTAGGCTGAGCTGCTGGTACTTGTCACAAGCATATGATATGTGGAGGTCTTGGAGAAAGAGAGGTACAAAGAGCAGCTGATGTCTTGGATCCAGCAGCCCTGTCCCTGTGTGTGGGGTTTCGTTGTTTTTTTCCTGGGATGCTTGGAAGCCTGACATGATGTGGCCTCATTCGTTCAATGTCTTGCAAGCTTCCCATGTTGCTCATTTTTGGATGTGTTACCAGGAATCCAATGACTGGGATTGATGTAGGCTATTCTAGAATATAAGGGTTTGGTCAGTGGTAGGAGTTAGGCAGTGTTCATTTTTAGAGAAAAGGCCTGAGACCAGGGACCATACCTCGCCAGCCTCAACTACAGGAATGTTTGGTGGCTTATGAGAACTCTAGCTCCCTCCCTCGCCAGCCTCAACTACAGGAATGTTTGGTGGCTTATGAGAACTCTAGGCTACATTCTCATCCACCCAGCCTCTCTGGCATTGGTGTTGTAGGAAAGCCAAGACTTTGGTAAGCTGGCACAAGTTGCGTTGCCAGAATTACAGTAACTAAGTTCCACATCATCCTGTGGACATGCAGCTAGCTTGTTCTAAGTTGGGCACTGTGGCCTCATTCTTCATTTTTATGAAGTCTCTCTTGTCCCCAAAGTGTCACAACCCTAGTGAAGGACCTGCCGTGCTCCTCCAAGGTTAAGATGCTCAGCAGCATTCACCAATACCAGAAGATGCTCATCTCTACCTCAGCAGCCATTGCCTGTCTCTCAGCATCCCTGGGTCGCCGGCAGGCATGAGTGGCAGGAGTGGTGGATTGAGACTTCCCTGTTGCCAGTTGTCCTTCTCAGAGGTTTGGTGATGGGACAGTTATTTTTACAAGTTATCCAGGCTTGGGTGCCTACACTATGAATACACTCAGTGTGTTTCTCCTGGGAGAAAGAGGAGCAGACTAAAGCCAGGAAGACTTTCTGCCATTCTAGTCAGTCTTAACTGTGTGTGCCTAAATGGTTGTGGACAACACCATCTTACCTGTCTAAGGGTAACCTTAAATCATTTAAATTTAGATGTCTGTGCCCTGGCAATGGACACCATGCTTTTGTGAAATACCCGGGACTGTAAGAGCCCATGAAGGTGGATACCTCCTTCTTAGTACCCATTGGCATTTTTCCTAAGTAGTTAAAAAAAAAAAAAGTAGGAGCAGAAAGAGTACATTCTTGCTCACTTAGATTCCATGCATCCTTAAAGAAATCCACTGACTCCTTCAGTTAGGGAAGGCCTTCATATGTATTTGTTTTTATTGGGCTTCAGCCTTCTCAGTTGGGTTTGCAGAAGTCTGTAGTGGCAGAAAGTAGAGGGTCTAGACATGGCTAACTTTCTCTGCTTAACAGCCTCTGTATCTCCAGCAGACAGCATTCTCACTTCTGGCCTCTGCTCTGCACTGCTCTGGGATGGACTTGAGTAAGGCCTGTGAGTCAGGGCAATGAGGTGGTCCTCTTCCTCCCACAGCCTCCTGAGCTTGCAGCTGTTTTCCTTAAAAGAGGGACACTATCAGTGTCAGACTTTAGGAGACATCTATAAGGTCCCTCTCCAGCCCATAGTTAGCATTAGGAGGGTGCTGTGGGCACCTTCTCACCCTTCACCCTGCTTCTTGTGCCAGTGGTATTTCCATCACACACTCTTTCGAAGCTCCTCAAATGAGAAGGAAAGTCATATCGAGCAGACACCCGCAAACTCTCTGTTCTTGTCCTCAGTGGGTCCTTCTTCTTTTGTGTAAAAAGTGCCTTATATTGCCTTGTGGCCTTCACCGGTACTGTATGGCCAGCCCCCAACTGCCAGGGCTCTAGGGCTGACCGGCATATGCAGCCAATGACACCATACCTCAGCACAGCTCCAGGTAAAAGGGACATGGGTTGACAGTTTCGCCTCACTTGTTCTGACCCTTTCTCCCTCACACATAGATCTCGTGTGTTCTCAGCTTTGTCTCTAGTTTCCCCTTGTCTGTTGTCTTTGGGCTTGGCTGGTGACTATGGAAGCTTGTGTGGTGGCCCAGCTGCGGGCAGCCATGCCTCCTATGTAATAAGGGAAGCTTGGGGGTTGGGAAGAAGGTCGCCTCCTGTACTTCTGGCCCTGCTCTTCCCGTCTCCTTACACCTGCCTCAGACTAGAAACAGCATCCTTCTCCCACCTGTTTCACTTCCTTGTTGCCCAAAGTTTGTGTGAGGAACATAGTCACTTGTACTCCTGGTTCCCAGTCTTAGCTCACTGGTAACCTGCATGGTTATCTGTGGTCTGGTAGCTCCAAAGCTCCTGGATTCTTGTCAGGGTTACCTTGTGTTCCTAGCACCAACCCCCTCCCTGACCGTTGCCTGCCTGCCTGCCTGTTCCCACTCCTCTGCTCCTGCTCCTGCTCCTCCGGGTTGTGCAATAACCCTCCCAGCCAGTGGTCTTTCCCACAGGCCTTTGTCCCTTACTGTATCCTGCATGGTGGGAGAGAGGGGACCCATGGGCAGGGTCGTCGTCATCCCTTACACGAGTGTCAGTCCCTTCCCTTTGTTGCTGTCATTCTTATGATCCTGGGTGGGTTTCTATGGCAATCTTACAGACTGTGTAGTATCGTCTTAGAAACTCATATTGTTTTTTTAAAAGAAATGTTTTTAATGTGTTGAAAATTAAAGGAAAAACAATCCTCAGACTGCGATATTATCAATGTCTAGGAATAAGGTCTGCTCCGGTGTTGCCGGCTTGGCTGTCACCGCCAAAGGCGTTCCAGAGTTTCTTGTTCTTGTGGGGAGGATAGATATTTTTCCAAGAATCAGCCACAGTGATGATCTGTCCCCCACAGGACCTGACTGTGACAGTGAGTGCTGTTGTTCTTTTGGGTACAGATTGGCATGTGACGAAACCTCCCTTTTCAGTTACTCTGTTTGATAAACACCCGAAGGATGAGCTGAGGAGCTGGTCCCTGTGCAACTCGTAATGCAAATGTGGACACACTGACTGTTTTTCCACATTAGTCTGTTCATGTTACGGACCAAATTCAACAAGTTAACTCAAGGAAAATGTGTACCTGCGTATTTATGCTTTCATGTAAAAGGGTTGGGAGGGAAGGGTGTCTTTTTACTTTGCTGAAATTTTTTTCAAAGTCCTTTTCCACTGTTTCTGTCTGGTTTTGGAAACAAGCTACAGTTTTGTATGGATTTTTTTAATGTACATTTTGAAACAAATGATCAAATATTTTCTGAAATACCTGAATAAAGGGCATAGAGTTATTGGTCGTAACGGTCTCTGGTAGAACTCACTGACATGTTTTTATGTGGTAATATGTTTTAGCCTTGATTCTTCCATTTGTTCTCACTTTGAAAAAAAAATGAATCCGTGTCAACTTTAGCTTTTGTGTCTAAATTATTTATTTATTATGTATACAACATTCTGCTTCCATATATATCTGCACACCAGAAGAGGGT